GCAATTGAATATAATTTGGAAGGATCCACTGCTGGTTTCAGGTCTTGTCTAAGTTTAAAAGTTATAGTCTCCGAACTGCAACATGCTTTCAAAAATATTCAACAATTATTCGCTTTCGTTCTCTCGAGTTGCATCCAGAACACGTGAAAACACAAGTTTGGGTTGGCAATGCCGCATGTGCTGCACTCTGGACATTCCAAATATACGGCGAACAACCGACGCCTGGCAGCGTTCGTTTCGCTCGCTGCGTCAACAATGTTTTGACGCCGCGAGCAGCGTCGAAGCCGCCGGGCAATTTTTGTCGCTTGTTTGCAACGTACTCGCTCCGCGACAATAAAAAGTATGTTCTAAAACCACGTTCTGCATTTTGGCACTGAATATAAAGTTCTCACTAGTATGCCAAGCTTAATCTCAAAGAACAGCCGAGTTTTAGATCAAAACGTTTTTCGCATTGTCATTAGCTGCATGAGCTTTCTCTGTATAGTTGGCAAAGGTTGGCTCTCCGTACATGCTCTGCGGGTGTAACGAGATTATATAAATATTCAAGCAGAAAAAGCCCAAAACTTGTAGCCCCGCCGGGGATATCTGAGCCATCAAGTTACACTGTCTGCAATTGTCACAGCCGCCATAGCACCAAACATTCATCCCAAGTAGTTACACTTCTTTTTCTATTTCTAGCGCGCTGCCACGCGAATGAAGTAATACCGTTTCCTATTACAAAATTCCTTGCGTTATGGTGTTCAGAAAGGATAGTGCCACCACAATTTTCTAGATACCTCTAGCGTGGTCACCCGAAAGGTTCAAAGAGTTCATCCCCGACAGGTAAACCGATACAAAAGCTCTCAAGATCTATATTATGTTTTCAGAGTTTAAAAAAAACGATAACTCCACAAAAAATATAAACACGCCCCCCCCCCCCCTCCCCGCCGTTTTACACCGAGGAACCGCCCCCCCTAAAATGGAGGTCTGGATCCGCCCCTGGACCCGGTGAGTGAGCGCCGCTCGCTTTGGAACTAATACGTCGTTGTAGCTGCAATATTGGGCGCGTTTGTCAACAGTGAATGGTGCAGGAGGCTTTCGATTTGCCTTACCTCACTAAAACGCGAAGCATGAGCAATCACCTGGCCGCATTTTTCAGTTAGTCTTTCGATTCTGGCAATTCCTAAGCCTAAATGAACGCAATAGTTGTCGGCATGGCAACGACTTTGAAAAGTGGATTGTCTTGACTCAATCGGTCGGGTACTGATAGCACACAAAAGCAGACAGCGTCCTTTTGCTAAATTTCCCAAGCACCGTGGTGCATGCTACGATACTCCGTTTCACCTTATGTTGTACTGCAGAGAAGGCTAGAAGCGCGAGCTCATAGCATTAGGAGCTGCTCTCAACGCAAGCGAGCTTGTGCCGCCGAGATGTGCCCTAGAGTAAGGCGCTCGCGCTTTTAGCTTTTCCTGCGGTACATCATGAGGTGAAACAGAGTAGAGTGTAGTTACACGCGCTGCGCGTGCTGGCTTCTGCAGTAGTAAGTATTCTAAAGCGAAAAGCCTACAACAAATTTTGCCGTGCACGCGCGTTCGTCAAATATTTAATATGATTATTTACTTCGAATATTCTATGAGTGGAAGGCCAGCGCGCGGATCGTTGAATTACACTTCCAGTGCTCTCCTCGATGTTAGGGTAATTTAATAATAGGTCAATTTTCACTGGAACCGAATTAGAGGTTTTTCAATTTATGACGGTGTTATATACAGTTCTTACATGCTGGCCAACCATACTGCCGGCGTAACGCCCGCCTTTCACTACTCACTTGTTTCTCAACGCTTCTAGGACTGAACTTCGTCGTCCACTTTCGAACTTGGAAGGAAATTTAAACGAGGCTTGTCTTTACTTCAGACAGCCAAATATTTAGAAATTTTCCAAACAAGGGTTAATTTAATTTTGCCTTACCGATTACCTGTACCACGAGCAATAAAAATTGTTTCTTGAGGAGCTCAAATGTATGCTGCGAGTCCCCCGATTTCGGGAACCTTTCTACAAAATCCATTTATATTCGCTACAGCCAGTAGGTGACACCAGCTACCACGCCATGATAAAACGCGGAGCTATCGCTCATCCAGCCCTCGTCAAACTTGACTAGGTACGTCTAGGTACCTGGTAGGGAAGGGCGGTTAACTTTTAACCGCTGTTAAAGTTAACCAGCTTCGAGCAAACGGGCCCAGGGAGCCACGTATATTCGCTACAGCCAGAAAGTGACACCAGCTACCACCCCATAATAAAACACGGAGTAATCGCTCATCCAGCCCTCGTCAAACTTGACTAGGTACTTGTAGGTACCTAGTAGGAAAGGGCGGTTAACTTTTAACCGCGGTTAAAGTTAACCGGCTTCGAGCAAACGGGCCCTGGGGGGTAAAGGTGGATGAGGAGGAGTGGCAAATCCCGCGCGCCGACATCCTGGGATCCGAGTGAAAGATCGCGAAAGAGAGCGACAGAACACGAGAGAAAGAAACCAATGTTGCCAGCTGAAAGACGACAGTCGCAATGGTAATCGCGAAGACTGAAAACTCTCAGCAATATAAAGAGTGATAATTTAGCGTTGCAAACTAAATTCTGTGCTATTCTAAGGTGTATAAAAAGCAGCATACTCATTACGCTGCATTAACTTCCCTTCTGTCGAAATCTCGAAAATCTGATAGTTGCGCGGTTTCGTATTTCCGGGCGTGGCCACCCGCGCCCGGAAATACGAAACTAAACCCGATAACCGAAGCCGGTTATCTGGTTTAGTTTAGTGTTGACGGGAGGCCGTACATCTGCGTGCTATGCAAAAAGAAAGCTTCGAAAGGAACGCGAATATCTTTCCACCGGTAAGTTCGTGGATTGTTAAAGTTCATGAAACTGCTCTGATGATATATTTGTGAAATCGAAGGCAGTTGGTAACCATGTGGGACCCCGAGGGTCTGCCTGCATACTCCGCCGCTTGCGACAGCGAGAATGCATGGGAAAAAGGCGGACCTTTTCCTCTAGAGTTAGTATGTATGATCTCTATGTCTGCTATACTCCGTTTCACTTTATGTTGTACCGCAGACAAGGCTAGAAGCGCGAGCTCATAGCGTTGGGAGCTACTCTTAACGCACGAGAGCTTGTGCCGCCGAGATGTGCCCTGAGCAAGGAGCTCGCGCTTGTAGCTTTTCCCGCGGTACAGTATAAGGTGAAACAGAGTAGAGAAATTACACGCTGCAGCAGAGCGAGGTTGGATACATGCTGAAATTGTGATTGTCTGCTATTTCACGTTTGAGACACAAACCGCGCTTTCTTTGCAAATAACAAGCCTAGAGTTTCTGCTGCCGTACATGAGCTGACATCAACCGGTGGATGTAGGATTGCTGAAACAAGCACATCAGAGTCCGTTTGATCTCTTTCGCTATTGGTATATTGGCGAGACGTCCTCATCAATATTTGGCCCGATTGTGAATTTACGAACGGGTCAAAATGTTTCCTTGGTTGGTCACACGCAAAGTGTGGCGCCACGTCTAATCAGTAGCCGAGAACGCTCTCACCTTCACCTTGACCGTAATCGGACCCTAGACGAGTAAAGAACAGGAACGTAATTACGTAGCGTGGCATCCTTGTAATACGGGGGAGATTGCAAACGGCAGCCCTTTTCAAAACGTGCTTTCAAAGCGTCCCTTCTCCACCATATACTTCTTGCGGTCATTTATGGCTGTGTATACGGTATTTCTGTTCACCTGCTCGTTGAGGGCTTCAATATCTTCTTTTTCTTCACGTTTTACGGTCATTTGCGATCGTTTAGACATTCAACAGGTTAGGATTACACGATAGACCGTTTTCTTGTGATGCTACCATGTTAAACTATTGCGCAGTTGGGCTGGACGAAAGAAATTAAAGTAAATAGTTAAATCAGAAATACAAACAAGTATAGGAAAGACAAAATTATAACTATTTGCACGACCCCCTCAATTGTAGCGCGTTCCAATCGGAAAATAAAGGGATTTGCGCTTTTGGCCCGACTCAGCTACGTCAGAATTATACATTGCAGCCGCCGCGAAAAAAACAGTGTATACACGTTTGCAAGAAAAGTTCCTGCGCTGCCGTTTTGAGCGATGCTGGCGCCGCGTAACGTGTCCGGCATGCTTAAGGACAATATGGCGACGTCTGCTGCATCACCAACGACCACCGTTAGAGACGGACCTTCGGAACGCATGAGGAGATGTCCACAGAAAACAGTAGCATCAAATATTGCAGGAGGGGGCATGTCTCCGGGTTGAAGCTGACTTTATAAATCTCGACGGCTCTGTTCCAGTACGTCGTGGAAGCCAGAGCTAGAGCTAGAACAGCCATCGTTGATTCAGTGGCCATGGGGCGCCTTGCCGCATTCTGATAAGTGCTTTAAAATATTAGATATTTAAAACAAAATTATTTGTAGCTGTTTTAGGCAATTTATTAGATTGTCTTTTATCTTTCGCTGTCGAAGACAACGCCTGCATGCTTTAGAAATGTTTTTTTGTTGTTTTTTTGCTCTCATTGGTGTATGGTGCATGCTTCAGCAAGAGTCGCTTGGCATCATTGTACGACGAGCACCGAATATCCTGGCTGGAGAGTAGCTCCGCCTCACCTCGGCGCGGTTCGGGGTTAAGCGGGGATTACACTTGCAGGGGCGTAGAGCCGGTTACCAATTAAGAGTTCAAGGAAGCTCTTCCCACCTCTTTCCACTTTTGCAGAGCGAACTCTGGATAGGACGTGACCTCCTTCCCAGCGGTAGCTCTTCTAAAGTGAAAAAGAGGTGGAGCGAGCTTCCCTGAACTATTAACCTGTCACCAACTGTAGGTGAGTTAAACATCTCGGGCAGTGCTTGTGTCCCACGCGAACAGGCGCTACTTTAGATGGGGCTTCGATTACGTGTGTGACGGTCTCGGATAATCTACGGAGGGTGTACCTTTTTGGAAAGTGTAAATTAAAATACAAAACCCTTTTGAGAGAAATCTTACCTGGTTTACGATAGTTTTTTCGTACACGGACGTATTGTATTCCCAGCTTTGGCACGCAACTGTAACATTCCTGTCCACGTCGATTAGTGCTTTTCCAATCGTCACGAGATACATCTCACACTTGGCGAAGGAGCCGTCCTCAGTCAACGGCACGGCCAGGGTCTTCCACTCGTGGTCGCTGAAGTTTGCAAGCAAAAGTTCCGGCGGACGAGCGCACCAGTGGTCCATCTTTGGAGCTATCAGCGGCGTAATCATATTAGTCCACCCGGTGGGCACAGCTCGCAACATGATGAGAAGCACGATGAGTGCGTGGTATGTGCCGAACTTCCCGATGACGTCCACAATGTCCAGCATGATGAGGGTTCAGGTGCCTGTAAGATGTCATTGCGACATTTTATTAATAAAGTTTTGACTCGATTTCAAGATACCGTCAATAATATTGGATTCGGAAAGACATTTATACCTCGGTGTGATTTGATGCCGGAGATATTTATTACGCTACCCAGATGCAAGAAACTTGAAACTTTCACATACTTAATTTTTGACATCTATTTAGCGTTATAAAAACCATGCAACACAAAATAATTTAATAAGCTTTTTTGAAAAAACAAAACAAAAACTATTTAGCAATAGCATTGAGTGCACTGGCGCAAGATAATACACACGACACCCTCGTAAAGCTAAAATAATATATTGAACTTCTGAGCGGCATGCGCGGTGATATGTGCAAGAAATATATCCCTCTCAGTGGTGGTTTTTGAAGAATATATACATTTTTTCTGTGTATGGTGCCCGTTCTGCTTGTAAAGTGTTTGTACTTCAAGAACAAGTTCTGCGCACAATATATTGAGACCGCGTGTTGAGACAAGTTTTATTTTACTTATGCAACAAGTGGTAGTGATGTTTTCAAGTTGTATATTTTACCTTTTAATTGTGCCTATTCTGGTTATGTCTTCAATGACTGAGGAATAAAGGTTCTATATCTCACAATGTCACACGAGAAGTGTAACAATTAACGTTTAAAGGTAAATATAATAAACCTTTAACCCAAAAAGTATGCATAACGGTGCATTTAGACATGTTGGCATATGATTCATGCCTTGCGGAATTAATTCAATATTTTAATATTTATATTTATTTATTATCCTAATGAGTAGCCGTCCTAGTAATTACGCGCAAACAGTGATATTACAGTCATCAAAAGCAACCTAAAATCTAAAAGATGGTTTTAGAAAGTCAATATGCGTCACACCTAGAATGCGATTATTAGGGAAAGGCTGAGGCTATCAAGGGAATTAGCCTAATAACTACTGAGAAATAAGAAAGTAAGAAACAAGAACGAGACTTTAGTTTCTAGCAGTCCCTATGTTATGATACAAAAATACTCGAATAAAAAGGCACAGCCTCAAGGAATCAGAGTATTGATAAAGTTGCTGAAAATGGTGCAGAAGTAAAAAAATAACGTGTTATGTTAGTTGACATTGCCTCAGTATATAATAAAGTACTTTAAATATTGTTACATTCAGAAAATTATTTGAACTACAGTGTAAAAATAATCGATCATAACGGCGTTCTACTTAAATGATGACATCACAAATGAAACGAAAAAAAAGACAGGGGTTTCAACCAATGTGATATGTCCCTGCGTCTTGTATAAAGTATAAATGTTGATGAGAAATACATTGGGGTTAAAGAATGCACTAATTTTCCGGGGTACTTTTTATAAGCCACCTATTCTGTTTAATGCAGTCGAATGCTTTCGGTGTTGGTGCAAAACCATTTAGTGAAAACTAATATTTTGTAAGGTAACTAGAACGTTCAAATAAAAAAAAACTTAAGGCAGACGCAAAATAGCTCTTTATAGTTTTGAAATATACAGTAGCGGAGAAGAAGAAGACGAGCTAGCAACGCGACAGAAAGAGGGCGCGGCGGTTGAGGCAAGGATGATGGAAGATAACGGACGCACCTTCCTGCAATTAAGAAGTTTGAAAGCAGACATCTGCTTCACTGGTGTCAGAAGTGGAGCTTCATTCCGGTCAACTATTTCCCCGGACAATGACAGCTCGCCCCACTCCCGAAGGGGACCCCACCGCAAGTACTGGCACCGGAAGTCTGGCCGCCTCAGAGCCGGCAGCTTCCCAACTCATGACTCTGATCACACACCACCTCGAGCAACCGAAGCATCCTACGCTCGACGCGAGAACCACCTTCATCAAGGCATCGCATGATTCATCCAGGAACTGACCGCCTCCCTCACCGAACGTCTGCAGCGCCTGGAGTCCCGCTCCCTTGGACCCGAGAAGCACCACACGACTTACCCCCTGGTCCGGAATCTTACGGGACCTTCAAGTCTGCGACTCAGACCATCAACATTCGACGGTAGAGCTCTTTGGGCACCTTACATATCACAGTTCGACATCATCGGTGATGCTAACAATTGGTTTACGGCTCAAAAGGCGCAAGCCTTGGCCGCCCATCTAACAAGGCAGTGCCTTGTTAGATGGGTGGTCAAGGATGCGCCAAGATGGGCGGATGCAAGGACAGTGCTGCATCACTTAACGTCTGATACCCGCCATTCCTACGAGGCTTTGGTCGCAGCACTCAACGAACCATATGGGGAAGGCCCTCTCCGCTTCCTTTATCATGAGCAACTTCGCAACCGCCGTCAGGCTGCAACCGACACGATCTCTCACGTGGCCGATGACATCGAGCGCCTTGCACACCTTGCGTTCCCCGCTTGCCCCGAGGACACAGTTGAGGCTGTGGCAACTATGGCATTCATCGACGCCATCTCATCTGTTGAGGTGCAAGATATGCCGTTCGCCTAGCATGTCCCAAGTCACTGCGGGCAGCACACACCTGTGCATTAAAAGTAGAAGCTGCTCTGCAGGCGTCTCGGTCTACGTTTCAACGACCCACAACGCATTGCCAAACTCGGGCAATAAGGACGCAAACACCTCCAGCTCCCGTTTGCTGGATTTGCCATCGCCAGGGTCACACGCGGGCACAGTGCGTGTACTATGGGCCTGGCAGTCGACTCCCAACAACTCCGCGAAGAATCACGTCAACTCGTGTATTGGCACCGCCAGTGCGCGCACTTGTTGATACCGGAGCTACAACCTCTGTAATTAGGCCGGAAGTTTTGACGACAGCGAACGGAGTTGTTCCAGAAAACTCTGAAAGCTGCACTCTGCACACCGCAACAGGGAATATGGCGACTGTACTCGGCTCCAAAATTGTGCCTTTCACCGTGTAAAGCCTTCACGCTACTTTGGCTGGTGTCGTCGCGGCTGTCGAGAAAGGGCGCATCCTTGGTGTCGATTTCTTCAAAGCACACGAGCGCGTGCTAGATTTCTACGCTGGATTACTACATCTGGACACCGACTCGTTTCCCTTAGGTGCGGCCACGGTGACGGTTCTCTGCGAGAGTGGACTGCCAATAATTGGAACGTCCCCGTATCTGTATTTGCACGCTTACTCTATCAAGTTAGTCGCGCACGTATTACCACTCTGTGAAGGCACGTCTGCTGACCTGGATAAAGCGGACGCTGAGAGGTTTTTCCAGCTACTTAAAAGGTTCAGAAAACCTTTCTGCATGGGAGTCGCAAATACGGGCTGACATCGGCGGGAACACATCGAATTGTGACAGGACAAGCTTCCCCCGTTCGACAATCCCCTCGACGTATTCCCCTTGCACAGAGGTCACACGTTAGTGACATGGGGAAGACAATGCTACAACAGGGCGTGACTGAATGAGCATGTTCCCCCTGGTCCTCACCAATCACACTAGTCGCAAAAAAGGACGGTTCAACACGATTTTGCGTAGACTATAGACGACTTAACGACGCCACTAAGAAAGACTCTTTTCCTCTTCCTCGAACTGACGACATCTTGGACGCTCCCGCCGGGTGCACGTGGTTCTCCACACTCGTCTTCAAAAGCGGATATTGGCAGGTCCCAGCGCACCCAAAAGATCGCGAAAAGACCGCTTTTACCGCAGGTAACGGCTCCTATCAGTTCAGACTGATGCCATTTGGACTCTGCAATGCTCCGGCTACATTTCAGAGACCTATGGCATCCGTATTGACCGACCTCATAGGTACCATCTGTCTTGTATACCTTGACGACATCATCGTCTTTAGCAAGACATTCTTAGACCATCTGGCGAATCTCAACTTGGATTTCTCACGGCTGCAAAACGCGAACCTGAAGTTCACTCCGAAAAATGTTCGTTGTTTACGAGACAAGTAGAATACCTCGGCCACATCATTTAGGCCGATGGGGTTTTTACTGATCCTCGGAAGCTCTCTGCTCTAGCTGAATGGCCAGCCCCAAGATCAACCGCAGACGTGCAAAGCTTCATAGGGTGTGCATCGTACTATCGAAGATCTATCCCCAGTTTCACTCACATTGCCAAGCCTCTGTGTGCCCTGACTGAAAGAAAGGCGAGGTTCGTTTGGTCTTCTGAATGTCAGCTTACGTTTGAGACACTCAAAACTGCACTGACGTCTCCGCCAACACTTGGGTATCCAAAGGACACCGCACGCTTGATACTCGACACCGACGCCAGCGCTTCAGCTGCTGGTGCTGTGTTGTCGCAAGAACAGGACGGACAAGAAAGCGTCATTGCCTATTACAGCAAGGTCTTTACGAAGCCCAAACGCAATTACTGTACCACCCGACGCGAATTGCTGGCCATCATAATACCATCCCTCATTTTCACCATTATCTACTGGGTCGGAAGTTTATTATTCGTACCGACCACGCGTCATTGACATGGATGCTGGCTTTCAAGACCCCTGATGGTCAGGTCGCCCGCTGGCTGGAACGCCTGCATCAATACTACTTCGACATCCAGCATCGTGCCGGTTCACTTCACACCAATGCCGATGGTCTCTCCCATCGTCCATGCAGTGCAAAGTGCAAGCAGTGCTTGATAATTGCAAAACGCAGCTTCGACTCGCTCAACGTACTGAACAACCTCCCCTGCGACATTCAACAGTGGACATCGGAAAGCCTTTCTGATGCTCAACTTGACGACCCGGACATCGGCCCATTCGTCAGATGATAGAGACAGAATAGCAAGCCCCCTACTAGTGAAGTGCTAAGGTTGTCTCCGGCCCTCAAGAGTTACTTGGCGCAATGGGGGTCCTTGTTTCTGTAGGACAGTGTTCTTTATCGACGCTGGGAGTCCGCTGCAGGCAGGGATGGGCTGTATTTCAAATACAAGTATTTGAAATACGTATTTAAATACTTTGTGTATTTTGCAATTGTATTTAACTACAAATTGGGTAATGTATTTGGCGCGTGTATTTAAATACTAAAACGTGGGTATTTCAAATACAATTGTAATT